CTCACGGTCCCATCATCAACCATAATACACAATCACGCAACAAATGCACTCATGCAACTTTTAACATGCGGTACCGACTCACAATCACGATGGGCAACTGGCCATTAACCCTCCACACAGGAGCACATATCAACGATGGGCACTTGGCTATCAACCCTCCACTCAGGAAGCACACCACACTGATGGGCAATTGGCCATCAATCCTCCACAATGGGAGCACCACAACAATACCGATGGACACCTGGCCATCACCCTCCACAACGGGAGCACATCTCCGATGGACACCTGGCCATCACCCTCCACTACGGGAGCACCTAATCAACATCGATGGACACATGGCCATCACCCTCCTCGCCGGGAGCACAACACATTAACATCGATGGACACATGGCCATCACCCTCCTCTACGGGAGCACACCAACAATACCGATGGTCACCATCACCCTTCTCACGGGGAGCACGACAAATAATATCGATGGACAACATGCCATCACCCTCCTCACGGGGAGCACACCAACAATATTCACATACATCATACATCTAGCACACCAAGTGCAAACCGATCTTATTGATCCACCCCTCACACAGTATATATACACGACGCACAAGGCGTACCAATCCCACGGATCCTTCACATCATAAAATACATACATAACAAGCACACAAAGTGCGTCGATCCCACTGATCCGCTCACCACACAACTTATCACATACAATGAACACAAGGCACGTTGGTCCTTCTGACCCAAATATATCACATAGCCGCACATAAGTGCAACGCATAATAAGCGTACCGATCCTCACAGATCCACTCACCACAACACACCAACATAACACACTCAAGGCGTAACGATCATATTGATCCTCATATCTCGCACACAACACATCAATACCATGCGTACTAGGCGTAACGATCCTACTGATCCAGTCCTTATACTACAGTATGTAAACGCAACACACATAAAGCGTATCGATCCTACGGATCCACTCATCACCACACATCACCACACGTAGCACATAGTGTATACATCTCACATACACATCCTTACACATCCATACACACCCATACTTATCTAGACTTAACACATAATCCACCGATTATGTCAAATGCGATAAACGCCGGCCACACAGCCCTACAACCCTCAACACACTCTCAGCACCCAACTATCATCACAGCACATCAATCCGATCGCACTCAGCACCCTTATATCACCACATACATGTATCTTAACATACACTGACGCAATCTCTCGAATTAAGTGAATATCAAGGAGTTCACATCCTGCACTACACAATATACAGGTATTATAACATACCCCAATCCACATATCATGATCCCACGAGTACCACAATCGTCACGTCCCGATGCCACACATACACTCACCTCAGCTCTCCAGCAAGCTCCTCATCATACATGACCAACAAGGGTCCAAAACCATAAGGAAACAACCCAAAACAGCAGCAAAAACACAAGCTGATGTCGGGCTCGCTGGCGCGTTAGCCCGGCGAAGCCCCGCAGCGAAGGCTCGCTGCCATTCGCCTGGCGAAACCTCTGGCGAAGCCAAACAGAAGCTTCTGCCAGCACTCGCTGGCTAGTTCGCCCGACGAAGCCTGGCGAAGGCTCGCCCCTCACTCGCCCAACGAATACCTGCGTACTCAGAAAAATTTATGCGCCGCAGATTCACCTTCCACACCAATTTCTCCCGATTAAATCGAAGCCCACAACCATCCATATACTGCAACTTAGTTACAGGGTCTATTCCCGATTCCTTCCGACAATTCATCAACTCTGCTCTCAAAACCAACTTCTGGCTCAACTTCGAACTTAACCGAAAATTCCAAAACTCATCCAATCTAACATCCTCAGCACATGCAACAATTTAAACATCAAACAACACAACAATAGCAGTATTAATAACATGCAATTAATCAATTCATCATCAACATGCAAATTATTCATACATGGGGTTAGGGATTCCCCTTCTACCAACATTCATGTAAAATACCATTTAACCGTTAAATCCCCCCTTACCTCGAATTTGATTTGATGATGAAGAAGCTTCACAATCCGCAGTCTTGTTGATCCTCTTGCTCAAGCTTCAATCCTTGCTCACTCTTGCTCCTTCACAACCGTGTGTGCGTTTTTCCTTCAACCGTGTTCTTTCTTCCTTAGCCTCAATTGTCAATAATACCCTTAGTTCCAACTATGCCACATCTTATTCTCTTTTATTCCAAATAATATATAATTCTCATAATAATAACAATAATCCTCTTATTTCTTTTAATTCACAAAATCCTCTTAATTCTAAAATCCCATTTTTATCTCTTTATAAACTCAATAATAATATTTTTCCTTTAATTCCAAACCACTTCCAATAATATTTAAATATAATGATAATAACAATAATATTAATAATAATAGTATCAACACTATTAATCATCATATTATTATTATCATTAGTCATATTTTCTAGTATTATGGAACTTTATTCCTCAGACAATTTCCACACATAAAGCACCGAAAAACAAATAATACGGAAAAACCAAATAATTAAAAATGGGTGTTACATTATACATCCTGACTGATTCTGGGATGTCTTCCAAATCTATGTAGTGGTTTTTCCCGTATGAGGTCTTCATTATTATATCATCAATGTAGACCTCCAAGTTTCATTTTATCTACTTTGAGAATACTGCATCCATTAATCTCCGGTAGGTGGCTCCTGGATTCTTCAATCCTAAAGATATGACATTGTAGTAATAATTGCCATGTTTGGACATAAAGACGATTTTTAGCACGTCCATATGATCCATCTTTATATAATTGTACTTGAGTAAGCATCCATGAAACCCAGGGTCTTAGAGTCGGAGGACCAATTAATCAGTCGGTCGAAATTGGGCAAGTGGGTATGGATCCTTAGTGCATGCGACATTCCCCTTAATAGGGCAGTCTATTCTTCCTCCTCAATTTTGGACAGAGAGTTGCCTATTTTGGTGATTTGAAAGTCTAAGGGCCCAATTTGGACCTCTTTTTTAGTGTCTTTCCACTCTCGCCAAAGTTGAATGATATTTCAAGCGTTATGTGGCCTTTCACGTATATGTGTTTTCTAGAGAGATATACTAGGAAGCCTTGGAACACCTAAATGTCATCTGGATCAAGTCGGAGTCTCTCAAAGGCGTCCTAAAACATGATGTCTGTTGAGCTTCTATGGTCAATCAACACTCACTTCACATCTCAACTATCATACTAAAACATGATGACCATGAGATCATTGTTATGAGGAAGGATGTTGACGACATATTTGCTAAAAAAGGTGATTTTAGACTTAACTCCTTTTCCTAATCTGCCTCAGGGTTAGAGGGTATGATGATCGCCGTTAAAATGTGCCAAACGTATTTTCGACGGGAAGAGCTAAATTATCCACCATCGGCAAACCCACCCGAGATGGTGTTGACGATGAAATCTACGTCTCATTCCAACACCTTGCTAAAGAAGATGATTGAGGTAGTAAGCATATGATAATGAATGTGGCTCATGTTAGTTTTACTGGGCCACATGGTATGCTCCAATTATACTTGCTAAAAAAGTATAAAAGGATAACCCTATATAAGGAGGGTTGTAGTAATATTTTGGGTTGTTGATGGTGTTTCGAGCTAGCTCACACAAAGTGGTGAGAAACTCTGTATGTTTATTTTATGTGTTAAGAATTTGACTCCCTTTCTTAGCTTCAAAGTTGAAATATTTATAGAGACCCTTTGGGCTTGAGCCTTTACATCAAAGAAGCGGTTACTTTGTCCCCCCCTCAAAAGTGTGGGATATGAGAAATTCTTTTTCTCCTATAATCACGGGGAACATGATTTTTCTCATTGACTGATTTTTTTAATTCTGCTGAAACACAAGGACGCATCATTCCCCCATTTTTGATAAGAAGATGTAAGATAGTCCGTCCCAAACTCTATACAGATGAGTTATTGGAAGTATTGAGAAATCATGGGCGCAACTTGGAGCAACCTACGACACTATCCTTATGTTCGTCTAACACTATTATGTTTGACTTGTCTTTAAATTATCTTCTCTTATGTTTAAGGCAATCATCCGAATAGATGTGTTGTAACAAAGAAAGTAAATGACTTTCTTATAAATTATACGGGATATACTAACCAACATCTTATAGATATAATTTAACAAAAACTCTAAAAAAAAAAAAATTAATTTGGAAATAATAACCCTTTTGTTTTAGTTTTTTTAAAATAATTTTTATAATATTACAAAGAATTTTAATAAAAATTTTAAATAAAATTTTAAATAAAATTTTAATTTAAATAATTATTCTTAAAATATTATTTTAAATATTTCATTAGTATATTAAAATTTAAAATAATTATTTAATTTAAATCTATTTCAAATTGTTTCTTTTTATAAAAATTATTTTTGAAATATAATTGTCTTTAAAAATTTTAAGATTTTTATTATTTTTTAATTTTCAATAATATATGATAATATAGGTTTATGTTATAAGATATCAAAATTTATTTTTTAATAAATTCAAAAAAAAATTTAATATTTAAAAACAAAAAAGAAAATTCTTTTAAAGGTACTAAAACAAATCGATTCTAAAAGACAACTATTTTGTCAAAATAATAAATAGCTCTGTTGATTCTTCTAATTACTTTATCTTTTTATGTACTATTTTTGTGTTTTAGGTTATCGAAAGATAATATTATTAACTCACATAATATTATTCACTCCTCTTTAAGACATAATAAATTAATGAGCTTTTTTTTATTGGTTAGTTTATTTATTGTGGTGAAACTTGCTTGATTCGATGGTTTGGCTGTGCTTGTGCACTAAGAAAAGTCTTAGAAATTAAATAAATGGCAACATTGTAATTAAACAAAATTCTAAGGAGTAAATGTAACCAATCTCCATCCCCACTATAAAACCCATTTTCAGCAACGTTTTTTGACATTCTCAAACGCAAACCCTCAACAAACAAAAAAATGGCATCACGCTACGAAGCTGAAGTGAAACTCTCATCAGCTCGCAACCTCAAAAACGTGAACTGGCGCAACGGCCCTAACAGGCCATACGGCGTCGTCTGGGTAGACTCGAAGAACAAATTCTCAACCAAAGCCGATGAAAACGGCGACACAGAAGCCAGTTGGGATCAAACTCTCGTAATCCCTTTACCACCACAACCAATTGAAGATCTCACTCTTTACATCGACATCGTCCACGCCGGCTCCGAACAAGACACCAAGCCACTCATCGGCTCGGCTAAGCTAAAATTAGTCGAGATTCTCGATGATGCTGGGATCGGTAAACGTGTCAGCCGATCCCTAACACTGAAGCGACCGTCAGGAAGACCGCATGGAAAAGTTGACGTCAATGTAACAATCAGAGAACCAGGCTATCCTGCGCCGGGTTCTTACTACACTCCTCCTTATGGTGTTCCTCCGCCTCTAGCGCCGTCGAGGGATTATAATTATAATTCTTCTGCGGGATACGGAGAACCTTATGGTGCACCAGCACAGAATTACGGTTATTCTACTGCGGTGCCACCCGGAGGGTATCCTTACAACGCGGGCCCTCAAACAGTTGGATATGGGGCACAGACGGCGTCGTATGGACAAGGAGGTAGTTATGGGTCTCAGATGGCGTCGTATGGACAAGGAGGTAGTTATGGATTACAAACGGCGTCGTATGGACAAGGGAGTAATTATGGGTATGGTCAAGTGGAGGAAAAGAAAAAGAGTAAGTTTGGTGGGATGGGGGCAGGATTGGCTGTGGGTGCAGTTGCTGGGGTTCTAGGTGGAGTTGCGCTTGTGGAAGGTGCTGAGTATCTTGAGGATAAGATTGCTGATGATGCTGCGGAGAAAGTTGAGGATGATCTTGGTTATGATGATGATGATGGTGGCTATGATGGGGATGATTTTTAGAGAATCAAAACTTTGGAGAAAAGTGTTTTGATAAGCCAATAAAGAAACAGAAGAAGAAAAATTGAAGATGTATTAAAATTAAATTGCGTGTAAAATTCGCATGTGTTGTTTGAAATTTAAATCTTAATTTTTGTTGGATTTTCTGTCATTTTTGCAATTTATCATTTGAGAAATGTTGTACTATGCCAAAAATTTAATATGAAGGAGATAAAAGTACACGTCGTTTTTCAATTAATTTTATCTTATTTTTCTCTGTTAAATTTTTTGCGATAACTTGGTCATTTAATGAAATAGCGTAAGGATTACTAAAGCATTAAGAAAAGTGATTATTTAATCCAGTGATTAATATTCATATTCTAATGCTTCTTTTGAAGTTAGATGGTTCAATTTCAATCCAATGACCAAAATTCGTTGTTTTAATGAAATGGACAAGAATTTCCAGGCATGTTCCTGTAATATGCTTTTGAAGATTCTTTGGTCCTTCTAGAGCCTTACGTTAGAAGTTGTATTTATTTATACTAGCGTCCAAACGGACACTCCGTGTCCGTTTGTCCGCTTTTGTGCAAAAATATTAACAATGTATTTTTTTATGTATGACAAACTCCTCTCTTATATCTCAATTTATCCAAAATAATGTAATTTAGTAGTCACAATATATTAATGTTGTTTTACTCTCTTTTATATGACGTTTTCGTTCTTCTTCCACCTCCCTCCGTTGTGTTTCTTCTTCTTTTTCCTTAAACGCTATGTACCTTCTTCTTCCGCCGTCCCTCCGTAGTTTCTTTCCACCGTTTGTCCGTTTTTTTTAATTGACACACATATTAAAATATAAACAGATATTTTTTAATCTAATGTTGTTTTTAATATAAATTATTTTTAATATAAACTTTGTGATATATTTCTTTCATGTGTATTTATATGTTTTTTTAAAAGCGTACGCGCAACAAATTCTAAAATATTTTATTTTCTTAGTTTTTGTTTTAAATTAAATAAATTGGCAACTTAAATCTTAAATTAGTAAGTATGACCTCTCTCAACAAAACAAAATTAGTATATAAGAATTATTAAAAACTGATATGACCTGATCAGAAGGGGATCACGATATGGCCACGCGCTACTAGACGGCTACCTGTTCACCGATGATGAGAAGGAGGAGGGGGTGTACCTGCAAGACACTCCGATGCCAAAGTAAGAAGCTGGGCAGAGTGGAAGCAATAGTACAGAAAAGGGGCAAGAAGAGTTACCTGACCCTCTTGAGGAAGAGGGTATTTATAGAGAGACCTCAGCGCTGGGCCAACGGTCATTTGAGATGGGCTGGATGACCAGACCCAACCCTAATGACTGCTAGGGCTTATGTGGCGTAGTGAAGACCAGGATGTGGTCTTCGCCCTAGTCCAACCGCTCCTAGGTCTCCGGAAAGTGGGTTTGACCTGCTCTTTCGGAGGTGGGCAGTTGGTTGATGACGTGTCCCCGCGGAGGGGGGCACGTGGAGAACGTGCGCCGGGCACGTTGTTCTCCCCGCGGAGGGGAGCTCGTGAGATACCCCGGAGCGCGTTGTTCTCCCCGCGGAGGGGAGGAACCACGGCCGCGCTTTGGTGAGCCGGGGACGGTTCTGCTCGTCTGGTACGGTGGATGGTGAAAGGTTCGTGCTTGTGTTTGGTGGCATGCCCTGCTCGTCCCGAGGGATGCACGTGCCCGGCGTGCCTGATTCGCCTGTTGGGCCGAACGTGGTATTGGGCCTGCCGAGGTTGGGCCCATACCGGAACAGGAGCCCCCCAAGTCGAAGCTCTGGGGAAAGAGCGAGGACTTAAGGTCGCTGTGTCTGGAACGGGCACCCATGCGAAGATCTCCGGTCGTCGGCAGAGCGGGGAGAAGGCAGGTGAAGGGGCGCGACTGTAAGGTTGCCGCCACGTGTCGTGCGTTAAGCGGTCGTAGGGGCGGCTACCCTATGTCATTAATGAGCCTAGGGTCGCTTCGAGTCCCGCGCCGGGTTATAAATATGGGGGTCCCCGCTCATTCTGCTACTTTTCACTCTGCCGTTGTGTCTGCTAAGCTTTGTCATCTCTGCTCGTCCGCCGCTTACCGTCGATCGCCGCCGCACCATTTGATCTTTCCTTCCTTCCGCCGCCGTTACAAGTGAGTTATTCTTTTCCCTCCCTTTTTTATTTCCGTCGTTTAATTGGAATGTGTGGTCGGGGCATGATGAATGCCCCGAGGAGGGACGCGAGACCCGCCGTGTCTGGCGAACTTTCTGATGAGTGTCCCGGGGAGGATGGGCTGGTTCCGATGAATGTCCCGAGGACGGGGGCTTTCTCCGATGAATGCCCCGAGGACGGGGGACTTTTTCTGATGAATGCCCCGGGGACAAGTGCCTTTTCCGATGGCTGTCCCGAGGGGGAAGGCGGGTCGGCCTCTGATTCCCCGAGGAGGGTAGACGGGGAGCGAGTGTTTGTTCGTCGCTTTCCGGCCTTTGTCGCCCTTTCACTTGACTTGCGGTGGAAGGGTGGATTTGATCCTGGCTATCGAATTCACCGTTGTCCTCTGCTTTCAGGTGTAGATGTCGGCTCTGGTACCGGGGATAATGGTCGAAGACAACGAACCCGAGACTCCAGAGTATGACGATGAGCGTATTGCCCCGTCCGAGGAATGGGCGGCCGAGGAGCCGCTTTCTACTCCTTCTTGTTTTGTGGCCGACGCGTCCGACGTGTACGCCACGGTTGAGGATACGCCTATAGGAGAGCCGCAGCACTGGCAGGTGTACCGACCAAAAGAACATCACCGCATCTGCTCGCGGTATGGGCGGCGGATGTTCCCGATGCATGAGTTCTACTTTAAAGAAGCTCGGCTCAGGTTATCGTTCTCCGCCTTTCATCTGGGGCTTTTTGACTGGCTGCGCCTTGCCCCGTCCCAACTGCACCCCAATGCCTTGGCTTTCATTCGGGCTTTCGAGGTGGTGTGTTTCTACCTCTCGGTGGAGCCGACGGTACCGTTATTTTTCCGCATCTTCCACCTGCAGCGGCAGACGGTGAATGGCCGCCACGGATGGGTTTCTTTTAAGCAATCGACCAAACTTTTCAAGGCGTATAGCGATTCTGTCAAAGATTTCAAAAACCGGTTCTACCTCGTCAAGCCGATTACGCAGCACGGCTCGGACACTCTCTTCGACGAGGGCGAGCGAACGGTAGATGGCCAGCGATTCCGCGCGTGGCTTCCTAAGATACATCTACTGTGGACTGCGGAGCATTTCAGCCGAGGGACGGATAGGTATATCGTCCGGGCGGGGACCCTCGAGGAGAAGGACATGGCCTCCTATTTGAAAATAGTTGCCTTTGTGCGGTCTCTCCCTCCGTCGAAGCTGGTGACGCCCGACGGTCGGTATATCCTTGACGCGCAGGGGAATGTGCGCACCAAGAAGCGTTTGATAAATACTAAGACCCTGTTCGGTTGTGCGACCGGGGCGGCTGCTCTGGATTACCTAGGTAGGAATGTTCGTTTTTCTCCCCGTGGTCGGGGCTTTTGACCGTCGCTAACTTTTTTTCTTTGTTTTTGCAGCGAACATGTCTTCCGTCGAGGAGCGGATGAAGCAGTTGCGTGCTACTAGGAATGCTGCGGCCCCGAGGACGAGGGTGAGCCAGCTGGTCGGACAGGAGGTCGCTACGCCGGGGGGGCAAAGTTCGTCCTCCTCGCCTCAAGAGATCCAATCTCCTGCGTCTCAAGGAGCGTCGAAGAGGCAGAGGTCCGAGGAGCCCCGAGTGGTGGATCTGACGGTCGGTATCGCCGAGGAAGGTTATGTCGTCCCGCCCTGCCATCAGCATCCGGGATATTTTCATGGTGCCCGTTCTCCCACTGTCTCCGCTGGGGAGGTGAAGGTTGTTCGTCAGGCCGATCGAGAGACTCGTCGACGTGTTCTGGCTGAGGACTTGGCCGCAATGATGCGGACGTTCACGACGGCTCTTGTGCTGAACGAGGAGGGCTGCTCTGCTGCTGAGCTGTCCAAACTGCAGGGGGATCTTTCTTTCATGCAGTCGCGGTTGGCCAAGCTCACTGAGGAGTTGGAGAAGAGCCAGAAGTATGTTGCTGAGCAGCGGAAACGGGCAGAGGGTGCTGAGGGGAAGGTGACTTCGCTGGAGGAGAAACTGGGGACAGCGACGGCCGAGATGCAGGCGCTGAAGGTTCGCATGGAAGTTTTGGACAGCGCGGTCCGTCCGGCCGAGGACGAGACAGACGGAGATCGACGGTTAATCACTCGTGCTGACCTGATCGCTCGTATCTGGGTGTTGGAAAGCGACTGTCTGGAGGCTGTTGAGGTCGGGTTCAAGAGTGCTGTCGAGCAGGTTCAGGTCGCCAATCCTGGTGTCGTGCTGGCTGTGGACGGGATCGGCCCGTACCACGAGATTGTTGATGGGAAGGTGGTCGATCCCTATCTTGTTATCCCCGAGGAGGAACCCGTGGCTGCTGACCGGGCGGACGAGGAAGCGTAGGTTGCCGGGCCTGCGTGCTCGTTGTTTTTATGGCCTGCGTGCCGATGTTTGTGATCTCTTTCTTTGGGTCTGTGTGCTCTGTATTTATACCATTGACTACTGGGCTGGTGCCCGCTTTTGTTTAATATATTTTTCGTGGATTTTCTAAGTGTGCGCTCGTTATTTGCATGTCGTTTATGCTCGTTTTTCGTGTTTGTTTGAATGCTTTTGAATGCCTCTGATGTGTATGACATTTCTTGTAAATTTTCTAAGTGTGCGCTCGGTGTGTTCGGGTGTTAGCTCGACAATTTGTTACCAGTAGTGCAGGGAACTGGCCGGTTTGGCCGGCGATGTAGCTGGGCCGTTTCGGGGGTAGTTCTCCCCGGGGCGTGGACGTCCCATCGCGAGCTGGGTGTCCTGCCTCTTTTGGTACGACGGCGAGGAGTCTCGGTCGAGGTATTCCCTGCCGAGCAAGGCCTTCTGCCCGCGCACACGAGAGGCAGGGCTTGCTTTTCTTTGGTCGCTAGTGGACGCGGGGGT